AGTTCTTTTGGCTTTCTTTACCATCCTGTTTACTTGAGACTCCACTTACAAGGAATTATGAGCCCACAGCCCTAGGTCTCTTTGTTTTGCAACATTCCCCAGAACCCTACAATTAACTGTAAAAGACCTGTCCTGGCTTCCTTGTGAAAATGTAGAACTCACATTTATCTAAATTAAAATCCATTTGCCCCTCCTTTGGCCCACTAGCCCAAGATCCTGTTGCACTCTGAGATAAACTTCTTCACTGTCTACTACACCACCAATTTTGGTGTCATCTGCAAACTTAACAATCCTTTCTCCTATATTCGCATCCAAATGATTCAAATAAATGACAAAAAGTAATGGGCCCAGCAATGACCCTTGCGGCACACCACTGGTCACAGGCCTCCAGTCCAAAAAACAACCATCTACCACCACCCTCTGTCTCCTACTTCCCAGCCGAAAAAAGTTAGTACATGTGTCTGTAATCACAGTCAGACTGACAGTCTCTGGGATTACTGCACTTCCTGATTATGCTGCCTATTTTGGATAGAATGCCAACTGGAATGAGGTGTGGGGAACAAACTAGAAATCAAATTAGGAAGAATTGAGAAATCACAACCATTTATTGAATCAATTAAAGCACAGCTTAACTCTCAGAAATATATTGATGTCCGTAAAGCCATGTTGCGAACTGCTCCCATTAGCTGAATGTAGAGTTGATAGACGCCTTGAATCCATTTACACATACAGTTCCCTGTCACAGGCAGTTCCTGCACCAACCCCAGTCCCACCTCCCCATAACAGCCTGGCCTGGCCTGGCCTGTCTGGTTAAGCGTGTGAATCGATGGGAGTGGAATATTAGTTTCTGAATATCAGCAGGAGGGGAATATTGGGATTCTGGGATAGGGCAGAGATTCAGAAACTGGGCGTCAATAGGAGTAGAATATTAAGATTCTGGAAAAGGGCAGAAATTTAGAAACAGGATCATTGGGAGCGGAACATTAGAATTCTGAGATAGCATTGGATTAGGAAACTGGGAATCATTGGGAGTGGATCATTGGGAATTGAGGATTGTGCTGAGCTTTGGAAACTGGGAGTGAAGTATTGAAATTCTGGAGTGAATTGAGATGAGTAATAGGGATCAATGGGGTTGGAATACCACATGACCAGGGACAGGTTCTGATTGGAAATCAGGAATAAATGTAAGAGTAACAAGGAACTTCAGGGATGGGGAGAATGGTAAAATGGAAGCAAAAGAGCATTGAGGTTGGATTTTGAAGTTCTATATTCTAGGGAGATGCAAAGGTGTCAGTCATCCAGCTGGCACAGGAGTGCCACACCTCGCGTAACCCAGTGACTGACAGGAAGAAGGGTGGGCAGATTGACAGGAATGACAAAGTTGGTAGAGTGACCAGTCGATGAGAGCATTTCAGCTCGGCGGGATGTTCGATACAGGGGACACTCATAAAACCTTTTCCCAGAGAGTCCTGCTGTCTTCCTGTCAATCTGAAATCAGATAAAGTGCTTTCAGCCGATATCAGGAAACAATGTGTAACTTTTCATCAGCATTAACACACTTTCACAACTCATCCACTCCCGGTCCCTCCGAGGGACTCCCCCCCCCCCAGTCCCTCCGAGGG